GCCCCGAGGAGGTGACAATGACCTTGCTGACATTGGCAGGAGAGTTTGAATTTCAGGAGCATCTCTAGCCTCTGCCTCCAGGAGTTCCACATCCCTGTGATGTGGGGAGGTGGGGAGCTGGGGAGGGGACTCCATTGTCCCTGCCTCACAGAAGAGGAAGTGGAGTCCCAAGGGCTGGGTGACTCACCCAAAGTCCACACAGTAGTGTGGTGGGACTGGGCTCAGAACTCAGCAGGAGGGTGAGGAATTGCAGAGGTCGCTCTAGCACTGTGGCCTCTGATTCCTTCAGGCCAGCTCTGTCCTGCTCCAGAGGGCCCTGGGGTTCTGCCAGAGCTAGTTGTGAGAGGGCAGGGAAGGCAGGACCTTCTCCCTCTTTCTCAGGGCACTTTTAGGAGGTGTGTGTGTAGGGGGGGAGCCTCAGCTGCCTTGACACCACCCCTCCCTCTCTCTGGTGGCCCTTCAAGACCCTCCCCAAAAGGTTAATCACTGAATTATCCCATCAAAGAAAATTGCACTTTTGTGCCTTAAAGACCAAACTAAGCTTCAGCATCAGAGTTATTTATGGTCTCTAATAAGCATTTTCCGGGTGTGATTAACCTTTATGCCAAAGTCATGCTGGGAATTGGGATGGCAGCTTGGATTCTGTGTGGCCTGGGGTGGGGGTGCGGGCGTGGGCAGCAGCTGAAGCAGGCAGCTGTCAGACTCCTGCCGTACCACCCACCCCTCCTGGGCTCCTGAGCCACTTCCCCCTCCAAGGGCATCTCTCCTGTCTGTGCCTTGTGCTGACCTGGCCAGGCCAGAGCATACCCACCTCGCTCCATTCAAACGTGGATCAGATTGCCAGATCCCAGTCCTCGCTTGCTGCTCAGAACCCCTGTTACCCTCAGCACCTCAGTGAGTCCAGCTATAAAATAGGGAGCCCAGGACCCTGTCTGCTTTCTGCAGCCCAGTGCTGCATCTGTGTCAGGTCCCCATGGTACCTCAGACAGTCATTTTAGCTGAAGCTGTCTTTGAGCTGCAGTAGGCCCTTGTCTGTCTCAGATTTAACCTTCAAGATTTGGAGAGGTGAGGTTGGGTAGGATGGCATCAGCCTGTAACCTCAGCAACTCAAGAGGTCAAGGCAGGAGGATTGCATGCTTGAGGCCAGCCTCAGCAACTTAGTGAGACCCTGTCTCAAAATTTAAAAAGTAGGGAATGCTGAAGATGTACTTCAGGGGTAGAATGCCCTGGGTTCAATCCCCAGTACTAAAAGAAAAAAAAAAAGTCTTGGAGAGATTTAAAATAAGACAGAAGTTTCATTTGGGGCTGCCAGGCTGGGGTGCAGAATGGGAATCAGCTAGAGAGTGGGTCTAGTGCTCTGCCAGATTCACTTTCTCAGTTCCATTTTGGTTTCTCTGCTAGTTGGAAAATGGCAAATCTCATGAAGTGCTGAAAACTTGGTTTGTCAAAATGATTCTGGAATTCTGGAAACCCAGCCAGTAGCTAGGGCTCATGTGGAGGGGAGGAGCCAGCCAGGAGGAGTCCAAGCAAGTGTTAGTTCTTAGGCCCAAAGCACTTTAGTTTGAGCTAAGAGAGGGTGACATGTCCAGTTTGGTGGAGGCCTGGACCTCTGGGGGGACCCATTCAGCATATGTTCCAGCCATAGTACTTGCTCTTTTGGGGGTGCTAGGCCTTGCTGAGAAGTAGAGGAAGTGACGAACCCCCAGGAAAATGGTTTTATTGCACATACCATTCTGCTTTAATTCCAGGGTGTTCACACTCCCTCCCTCACTGTGTTTGTGGACCCCAGATTAAGGACCCCATTCTCAGTTTTAGGAGGAAACAAACTGCCCCTAATACTTTCGGGGTCTGTTCCCACCAGCACAATAGTTTCCTGATGATAGGGATAGAAAATGGCAGTGTCACTGAAGAGGACCATGTCATCAGCAGATGGTGGAGGAAACAGGCAGGAAAACTGGACTTTTCATGGAAGTGATTCAGGAAGAAGCCTTTACCAGGCTTCCTCAGGACAAGTAGCGGCGCAGGCAGAGATTCCGCTACAGAGTTGACCTTTCCAGAGAGGAACGGTTGGTCTGGGAATTTTAAGGAGCATTTTCTTTTGCATAATGCAACACAGGTCCTCACTGGACAGGAAATGGCTTGGTAACCTGCATGTCCAAGAAGGAGACAGCGTCAGGGCTGTAGGTGGCCAAGGGCAGTTGAGTCCTTTGCCCTATGGCATTTGGTTTGATTTTAGGATGAATCTGGAATTGTTTGCTCTTCTGTAAACCCCAGGACATTAGCATGCCATCTAATTCAAGCCTTGGGCCCTGGGTGCTTGATACCGAGGTGGTTTAGCTATCTTCAGGGCTAGTCTGAGGCCTCCATCTGTGAGCCTCCTGAGCATAAGGCCCAGTGCATGTACAGGGCGCTTTGGGGACACATTGAAGGGGTAACTGAGTCACTTTGCTTTGGCGGGCTGGGGAGGGGCCCTGTATGTGAATTTTGAGGAATGCACAGCTCACCAGGGGCAGGGGCAGGAGAAGCTGGGGAGGGAGCACCAACTGCAGGCGCAGGAGGGGCCGGTGTGCAGGGGAAGTGACACATGGTGTTTAGAAGGCTGGAGCAGGAAGCAGGGTCTAGAGGCTGGGTGACAGGGCAGCGTGACAGGGCAGCCAGCCTGGTTTCCAGGAGGTGTTTCCAGTTTCCTCTGATTTGCCTGCGACTTGGCTGAGTATGTGAGTGAAGTGGGCATCCTGGGTTGAGACGCAGAGGGCAGGATTTCCTGGTCACCTTCTAGAAGAAACCTCTGGCCATAGCAGCTGGGCTGCTCACCTCTGGGGACAGCAGAGCCTGGGCCTCCGCTGAATGCTGAGCAAGCCCAGCAGGTTTGTCCTGCGGGCTACTCTCTGTTTCTCTCCTTCCTTGGGGAAGAGCCACTCGGGAAAGTGGGGGTAAAGGTATTTCTCACCTCTCTGGAGACTGCAAAGTTGAATTACTGATTAATAAAGTGTTGGGATTTCCTTGGGCTATAGAGATGAGTAGGTTTGTCCCCATCTCTGTTGAAGCCCAGGAGCAAGTTAGCTGACCCCAGCGCCATTCAGTGAGTGTTCCCTGTGCCAGGCGCAGGGCGGGCCTGCAGGGCGGGGCTTCTTGGGAGCCCAATGCTTGCTGCAGGAAGAGTGGAGGACAGAGGGGGTAAACCAGGCCCACCAGGGACTCAGGTTGACATTGAAGGGACAACATGACCCTGCGGACCATTGGGGTCAAGGGGAGCTTCCTGCAGGGGTGGCAGGAGGACAGGCTCTGCCCAGGAGTGGAACTGCTCCATGACACCTGGGAGGGAGGGCTGCAGAGCCTGAAGTCATCACGGGGACAGAAAGAGGAAGGAATGGGTGCCTGTGAGGGTGGAGAGGTCCTGGGGGTGGGGAGGACATTCCTGGCAGGTGAGCACAGAAAGTTGGCCCCTGGAAAAAGACAGACAGAACCAGACTCAGCTCACTATGGGCAAGTGAAAGAAAATAATATTCAAGTTTGCTTTTAAGGACTAAGGGAAGGCCCTGAGGTCCAGAGAGGATGAGCAGGGCCAGGGAAGCCCAGGGGAAGGGGGCCTGGGCAGCAGTGGGTGGGGCAGTGGGTGGATGGGAGGGTGTGATGGGGCGAAGGGTTCGTGGAGGGAGGCATTCTCCAGAGCACATGCTAAGGCAGGAGGTGCCAAAAGCCTCTGTAATCACCATAAGTAATATCATGATATTATTACTGATTTTTTCCCTTTTCCCCAAGCTCTAATGTAACCAGTACTGTCACTGAACCTGTATTTTTCTTATTTTGTTCATCATGGATTTTTTTGTTGTTGTTGCATTAATTTCTATTTTTTAAAATACTGCATTAGGGGCTGGGGTGTAGCTCGTGGTGGAGTGCTTGCTTGCCTGGGAGGCACAAGGCCCTGGGTTCTATTCCCAGCACTGCAAAAAACTAAACAATTGCATTAAAATATGACATATCCTGACTACTAAGGGTTTTGACACCCCTTAAATTTTGCACCCACTTCACCCTAGTCCAGGTGGGGCCACTCATGAGGGCTTCACGCTGCGGGAGAGCCCCACTGCCCTGACCTTAGCTAAACTAGCAAAGGGCATCCCACCCTCCATCTCATGTTCCTGCTGCAGAATCCCAGGGTGGGCTCCAGAGCTAAGAGTCTGGCCCTGAGTTCAGCCGTGCGTTTCACAGCAGGTGCAGAAATGGGCTGGGGCTGAGACATGAGGAAAGAGCAGGGGAGCAGAGCAGGGCTGGTGAGGAGGAGAGCAGTCTCCGGGTTCAGCGTCCTGCCTGGAGGCTCTGCGGGAGGGTAATTTAAGGAGGCTAGCCCTCCAGTTGAGGGGCTCCCGCCACTCCCCCTGTCCCCAGCTAGACTCAAATTCTGGAATCAGAGTGGGATGCAGCCTTAGGGGAGGTTAAAGAGCAAACAGGGCAGCCATCTTTCAGATGTGTTCATCCTGTCACCGCTCTGCCTCAGTTTCCTCATCTGCAGTTAGGCACAGCTGCTCTGGCCCCAGGAATAATTAAGCCATGGTAGATCTTAAAGGGCGTGATACACAGCGAGGCACAATTTGTAGTGACTGGTAATAAGCCAGGTAGGAAGCAGAGCCCAGGAAGCAGCTCATTAAACAAGAGGTCAGGAGCACTGCTGCTCTGGAGCCAGAGAGGTGTGCTAATGAGGGTCTGTGAGCCCATACAGCTAGCAGCAGCAGGCAAGTGGGAGGGGATATGTGTATGTGTGTGTGTGTGGGGGGGTGCGTGCATGTGTGCTCCACTTACCACCCTCTGTTCCAGGTCCCCTCTGAGCAGGCAGCTCCAGAGCTTCCAGACCAAGAGGATTCGAGGGAGCAGGGCCAGGAGACTAGGGGCAGGGGCTGGGAAGAAACTGGATGTAGGAGGGGAAGGGGGCAGAGACAGGAAGCGGCAGACCAGGCTGCTCATGGCATCCACCTAACCGTGTCCCTTGCTCTCTGTGCCCACAGGCCCTTCTCCTCTTGGGGCTGAACCCTGTCTCCACCTCCCTCCAGGACCAGAACTGCGAGAGCCTGTCCCTGGCCAACAACATCTCTGGTGAGTCTCCTACCCACTTCTGCAAGATGTAAGGTCACTACAGTGTCCCCTGCCACAGAACTCCCAAAGTCTGTGCACAGAACCATGCCTGAGGGCAGAAACGGCAGAGAGACTTCCCCTCCAGGACTCTAAGCTATTTGTCATGTCTCCATACTATCTAGGAGGATGCTAAAGCTGGGTGTCCATTTGGTGGGAAAGAGAACTAGTTAGCCAGCAGCCTGTGCTGTGGGCAAGCACCCCAAGCAGTCACTTCCCTGCTTTAGGGTGGGCCACAGGGGAGGATGTCGCAGCCCCTGCTGCCAGGCTGTGACTCGAGGACATCAGATGAGGGAGAAAGATTGCTGCTTCCTGCTGCTAAAAGTGCCCAGAGTCACCTCCGTGGGCTGCTGACCATGCTCCAGGCAGGACTCAAGGAATTCAAGACGTGTTAACCCCATGTGCACAGCAACCTTCTGAGGGGGCCACTGTTGTCCTAATTTGACACATAAGGAAACTGAGGCACAGAGACACACTAGTAAATGCCGGATCCCAAATGGAGCAGGTGGACATGCTCCGAAACACAGGGCTTTAGACCTCCCCAGTGGGAACTATTGCAAATGTTGCTCATGCCTAGAACTTAACTGCTTACAAGGGGCTTTTGTAGTATTATCTTATTTCATCCTCACAAGAGTTGAAAACCCGACATTCATCCAGAAGGGAAGTTTGAAGTGGGAAAGAATTTCTTAAGTCTCCCAGAAACACACCATCAGTGGCTGGGACCCAAATCAAAGTCTTGAGGTTCCCAAGGCCAGGCCTTTGCTAACTTTGGGCATCATCCTGGGAATGTCTGGTACCAGGCAAAATGCAGCAGTCTCCTACACCTAGGGGTCCTTGGGAGGGTTGATGTCTGTGGTGATTTAGTTCCTCCTCAAGGCTTTCATTGATTCATTAGCTGAGCACCTACTCTGCAGCAGGCCCTGTGCAAGGGGGTAGGGGAGCTCCCAGCCTCCAGGTCCCCCGTGCAGGTACTAGAAGGCAGAGTGAGAGACGCACTGGCCGAGAGAGGGACTGGAGTGTGTTAGCAGATCAGGAGGCATCAGTTTCTGCAACTGGGCCTGCAGGGACAGGAGGCTTCTGCAACTCAGAGCAGCTGTCACCTGGCCTGCTGTTCCTTCACCAGCCAGGGTTGGGGGAGAGGGGTGAGTGCTGGGCGTGGGCAAGGCCGACTGACTTCTTGTGCTGGCTGATAGCGAGGGCTCAGGCATGTCCTGGCTAGGAGGAGGGAGATGGGCAACCACAGGGACAAGCATGCCTTTAACCCCTTGGAGCCAGGCTTTGTCTGATGCTAAAGGGAGAGGTGACTCCTGCCTCAGGACCTGTCAGAGGTCAACAGCACTGAGTTTGTGGCTGTTTCCGCAGAGTGCAGGCCGCTACTGTGTATGATGATGGTTGCCTGTGTCAGATGGCTTTTAAAGGTGCTCTCTGTATAGCTAGAAAGAAGGGAAGGACCCTGTCACCAACTGCTTGTGACAGTGGAGGTGGCAGGAAGGCAGGACAGGGTTAGGGTGAATCCTAGCAGCCTTCCTAAAGGAGAGGGGTTTCAAGGTGAGTCTTTTTTTTGGGGGGGTGCTGGGAATTGAGCGCAGGGCCTTGTGCATGCAAGGCAAGTGCTCTACCAACTGAGCTACATCTCCAACCCATCAGAGTGAGTCTTAAGAGAGATTCTGAGAGCTGGCAAAGAGCCAGCACCTAAGCCAAAGCAAAGGTGCACTGGGGACCAATAAGTAGGCTTGGCGGAAGGACCAGCGCTGGATGAGGAGGGAGGAACATTAAGCCTGGGGAGGTGCTGGGAGCCCACAGCATCAGGCTGCAAAACTGGCAAAGCTGGGCTGTAGGGAAAGGAGATTCACACCCAGTCAGCAAAGAGGGAGATGGGGAGGGAGGAGGCCCAGGGGGAGTGACTGGGTACCAGGTCAGGCTCCATTAACTTGCTTGTTGTGTTCAAGAGGAGTGACATCCCCGAGCCCATGCAGGTGTCACCTGTCCTTGGCAGCAGCGGGCCTTGATGAATGGTATTCATTCCCTGGTGACTTGTACTGGGTGCCCCCACCCCCAGCCCAGCCTGCCTGGCTTTGTGGCATGCTATCCATCACCCTCCAAACAGCCTCTGGTAACGGGCCATTTGTCTTCTGATGCCGAGACCTACCCAGAGCGATGGGCATTGGTAGAGACAGATGGTGAGGGTGGGGCCAAGGGGCCAGGACAGATGGATGGGCGTCTGGCTGGGGCAGCTGGCACTGAGCCGGGACTTTTGTGGGGGGGCTCTCACATGCTTTATGCCAGGAGCAGGGAGAGGCTGGTCCCCAGGGCTGAGGCCCATCATGTGGCATATCACAGACTTGGCAAACCTAAAATCATGGCATGAGGACGACCATGCCAGGAAGTGACAGAATTGCCAACTAACAACATCACAGACAAATGGAATCAGAGTTGACGAGGACCTGGGGTCATCAGTTCCCATTTCTGGCCTTAAGGAAGTGAATGTTAGTAATTACTTAGTGCCCACTATGTATTTTTTGGACACTACTCCAAGTGCTTCATATCATCCAGTATCACAAAAATATAGTCAGGAAGAATTTTTACCTGAAAGAGGAAACTGAGGCCCTGAGGGATTGAACAACTTGCCTGAAAACACACAGTTACTAAGACTGACAGCGAGTTTTGAGCCAAATGGGTTTGATTTCAGACTTAACCACCAATATCACATTATGTGGCCACTCAGAGATCCATGGTGTTCAGAGTCCAGTGTAATCAGCCATAGGGGGTATAGGGCCACCACTGAAGTTTCCCATACCAATACTGGATTTGCACATGGTCCCAGTTTTTTCTTAGCATCTACTATATGCCTGGCGCTATCCTAGGTGTTGGAAATTCAGAGAGAAGAGTGTGCAAACCCCCAGGCCAGGAGGGTCTGTGGCATCTTTCTTCTCTGGCCAACCAAGAAGGAGGCAGCTCAATCATTAGGTGGCCAAGCAAAGACCAGGGCTCTGACTGCCCTCTGCTGCCCTCTGTATGCTGTGCCACCCTGGCAGATCTTCTTCCCACTCATCTCAGAGGTACATTCTTCTGAATGTGTTTCAGAGGTTGCTCTAGGGCCCCTGGCAGCTGCCACTCAAGGCATCCTTTAAATTCAGCCTCCCCTGGAGTTAAGCCAGACAAAGGGATGGGCTTCCCACCTGCCAGGATACTGCCAAGAACCCCTGCATCTTGTCCAGAAGCCCCTGATGGGAGACAGGAGCCAGATTCCAATTTCCTTCTGAAATTAGAGCACAGTTGGACCCTAAGACTAATGGGAAGGGAACTGCAAAAGAAACTAGGGCCCAGTTGGGCACAAGTCACCTTCAAAAGGTCTCTATTCTTATGTGAATGAGGGTGTGAGCCACCCGGTAATAAGGAGGTCAACACCTTAGGCACAATAAGCACCCTCCTGCCTCAGGGCTTTGTACTTCCTGTTCTCTCTGCCTAGAGCATACTGTCCCAGCTATGTTCCTTCCCTCGCTTCCTTTAGGTTTTAATTAAGTGCTATTATTTTATAAAAATGCTAAATTAAAACAGCACTGTCCGTCTTTATCTCCCTATAGTGCTTAGTTTTACTTCATAGTATTTCTCAATGGTTATGTTTGTTTGCTTATTGTCTCCCCGCCAAGTAGGACACAAGTACCATGCCAGCAGGGCATTTATTTTATTCATTACTTTACCTCCAGTCCTGGTTATTTCTTAGGTTTACCTAAGTGCTTCCTGAATAAAGAGCAGTCATTCTCTTCCGTCTGTACCCTAACTGACCAGGAGGGGCGCCTTTGGCAGGAGCTGCAGGAGGAGTTGGCTCCTAACTGCAGCTCACCTTTGCTCTGTGGCTGGCCAATGGGCTCAGCTAGTGGCAAGGCTGGCTTACTCTGAATCAAACTGCTCCTCACCCAGAACTGTGAGGTCCAGGTGTAAGAATAACCCCAGGAGGGCAGAAGAGGCTGGATATTTGTGACAGTGGGACCTGGAGGGGATGTTGGCCCAAGAATCCAAGTCCAGCAGCCCTGAATTGAGGTCCTTATTATGGTCACCAGGCTGTGACATGGAGACTTCCTTCCTGCCTTCTCCCTTGCCAGCTGGTAGATGGACACCCTCCCTATCTTGTGAAATTATCTGTCTTCCTGGCTTTCTCTCTGCGTCTCGCTCTCTTATCCTTAGTGTCCTTAATGTCTTTTTTTTTTTTTAAACTCTCTTCCCCTCTTCTCTCTCTCCCTTCCTTTCTCCCTCCACCTGACTTGGCTTCTTCCCTCCCCACCCCTCTTTTCTCCCCCACAAAGAGTGGCTAGGGAGATTGAAGAAATGGCTGAATTGCCTAAGGTAAAGCGCCCTTCACAGTTCCATTGGTATACAGTAGTGTTAGACAAATGTTGGTTCCCCTGCCCCAAGTCCTGTACACCAGTTCCCTAAGGGACACCCCCCACCCCCGCTCTCCTCCTTCCCGGATGCGGTGTCCACAGGGCGGTGAGCTGAGATCTTGTATGTGCCACTTGTGGGACTGCGCCCGGGAACACAGTGCCCGAGGCCCTCTCTTGCTGCCTCCTCCCTGCCTTTGACCTCCGGGTCCCCTTTCCATCGTCCACTTTTCCTTTACTCCCTGTTCTCTTGCTGCCTCTGCCTCCTCTTGTACTTTAAAACCACAGGCCAAACTCCTAGCGCAAGTTCAGCCCTCTTTCCACGCTCTGCCGCAAAGCCCCGCCCCACATGACTGACCACGCCCCTCCTAGGACCACGCCCACCCAGCCTTGAGTCTCAGGCATGCGTGCTGCGTGCTGGTCTGACTCTGGAGCAAGGGACATCTTTGTCGCCTACCCCTTGCATTTGGCTTCTCTTCTTTGCCCCTGTAGCCTTCCTTCCTCTCTTCCTGCCTCGCACACAGATTTCTACTCCATCCAGGATTTTCTGGGCTCTTAATGCAAAGGCCCCAGGCGCCACTTCCGTGCAGTTTCCACGCAGTCTACTTCGAGCGACTGGAGGCGCGGGCTGGGACCCGAGGGCAGCCCCAGAGAAGGCAGAGTCTTCTCTGAGAGAATTGCGTTAGGCATGTTTCAGACACTACCACCTACGGCATCCCTTTTAATATTCCCAGTGCCTAGCTCAGGAGATACAGTGACCGAATGAATGAATGTACAACCTATGAGGAAGGAACAATGACATCATTCGCACCTGGTGCGTGCCTGGCACCCAGTCAGCCCTAAATGCTCCCTTCCCTGTTGCCTCCTTGACTGCCCCCACCCACACACACTTTATTGCCACACAATATGGTGAAATTGAAAGAATGCTTAATTTAGAGTCAAAAACATCAGGCTGAGCCAGGTGCAGTGGCACAGGCCTGTAATCTCAGTGGCTCAGAAGGCTGAGACAGGAGGATGGCGAGTTCAAAGCCAGCCTCAGCAAAAATAAGGTACTAAGCAACTCAGTGAGACCATGGCTCTAAATAAAATACAGGGCTGAGGATACAGCTCAGTTGGTAGAGTGCTTGCCTTGCATGTGCAAGGCCCTGGGTTCAATCTCCAGTACATCTCCCCCCACCCAAACAAAAAAAATCAGTCTGTGAGTCTTGACTCTTTTACACTTTGACTTATGACCTTGGACAAGTCACTCAACATCCCTGGGCTTTGATTTCCTCATCTATAAAGGATGGGGGGAGGGTAGACATTGGAGGAGACATTGGAGGTTGGATGAGGACCTAAGAGACGAAGAGCTTTGAAAAAAGCAGAGCGTAGTTCACAATTTTATCCCCCTCCCCGCCGCCACATGCCCCTGGCGTCCCCTCCTCTGGGTTCAGCACTATCAGCATGATCCATGACAGATTGAAATCCCAACCTGGCACACCAGGGCATTGCAGAGTGCTGCCTTCCTCACTCCCCCACTGCTCTGCGATGCCATCAGGAGGCTCAGCTGCAAAACAGCACCCTCCTGGCCCACCCCAGCACCTGGCCTGCCCCAGCTCTGGCCCCTCCAGTCCAGATTTCTTTCTTTTAATTAAGCCACTGGCCTTGAGATCTCTGCCCCCTGAGCCCTGATTTGCACAAATGCCCCATGAATAGCTTTGATCAGAAGGAAAAGCCAGCATTTGGTACCCATGCAGCTCCTCACTGCCCTGATCCAGCAGGAAGAGGAAGCCAATTTAGCCCACTGCTGTTTCCTGAGATTGGAGACAGGCTACTTTGGGGAGGAAATGGCAGACCGGCAGCCAGGACTTGGCAGCTGCTGATGCCCAGCCCCAAAGAGGCTGTCCCCTACCTGTATAGATCATGGCTCCCTGGCTTGTCTGTACATTTTGTGCCAGTTCCAAGTTATTAACCCTTTCTGCCATGATGGGACAATGGGTCTCAGCAGGACTGGTGAACCAACCTCATGCCCAAAGGGGCGTAAAGGCAGAGAAAGAGGGGAAGCACCGGGGAGATTCCAGGACCATGCAGGGGTGCTTAGCCCCCACCCTGGAGACTATTTCCCCCTACCCTCCAGAAATGTCACTGAGGCCTCAACTCTACCCCAACACACACACACACACACACACACACACACACAATGTCTCTCCCTCTTTTTCCCCACTCCACCCCAAAATCTCTTTATCAGAGGAAAATATTAATGTTTGAAGGGGCCTTTAATAATCTTTTTCTAGTTCAACTGTTTATGAGTCTTCAGAATCACAGACCCCCTGGATCATCTAATAATAGCCGTAGCACCCTTTCTCCATTAGAGCGTGTATACGCCAAAGTTTTCATTATATTCCAGGTCTCTATGAACCCCTGAGATTCCCAATGGATGGAGATTAAGGATTTCTGATCTCAAAACGGGGGTGTAGCTCAGTGGTAGAATTCTTGCCTAGAATGTGTGAGCCCCTGGGTTCAAGCCCCAGGACTGAAAAAAAAAAAAAAAAAAACGGATCTAATCCAACCACTTCATTTTATTCTAGAAGAAAACAAGGCCCAGTGAGATTTGCCTATCGTCACCCAGCAAATTAGTGGCAGAGCCTATTCTGAGCCATGGGCCCAGACTCCCAGCTCAGTGTCCTGAAGGTGTCTCCTCCCTTTTCTCCCCATGGGCCCAGGTCCTAGTATAGACCAGAGCACAGGAAACGTGTGCTCAGTAAGTGTGGCTGTCAGACCAGCTGGTCGACCTGGTTGTGCTGCATCTTCCCAGTGGGGTTAGGGCAGATGTGGTTTGGTTCCAGAAATACATGAGGAGCCTGGGTCAGGAGTTGACTGGACCTGTTCCAGAGTGTTCCTGTGAAGTTTTGGAGCTCTAGTCTGTTACCAAGGGTGGGGTCAAAAGATGTGTCCCCAAGAACAGGGGACCTGAAACAGACCCAGCCATCTTCCAGATGCCAACCAGGACCTTAGATTTCAACTCTACTTCCAGCCATCTCTGTTTCTCCTCTGTTCTAGAACTCATGCTGGCTCCAGACTCCTTCCCGGGTGTCTCCTCTCATAGACAGGCTCATTTCTGCACCCGGGGCCATTGCTTTTGTCCTTTCTCTATGTGATTGGGAGCAAGTGGGGGGAGGGGAAGGGCTGTGGAGGGTCCTCTGCCTAGGGAAGGGGTCCTGCTCTGCTTACCAGCCATCTCTGTCCCCAGGCCTGCAGTGCAACGCCTCCGTGGACCTCATTGGTACCTGCTGGCCCCGGAGCCCTGCAGGGCAGTTGGTGGTGCGGCCCTGCCCTGCCTTTTTCTACGGTGTCCGCTACAATACCACAAGTAAGAAGAATGTAGAGGGTGGAGCATCTGCTGGGGTCGGGTGGGAAGAGCTTGAAAGTGGGGAAATAACAAGCTACAGCCATATTATTAAATACCTTTTGAGGGTACCACCACCACTGCAAAGCCCACTCTGGCTGACTCTCACAATACCAGGCAGCACCATCTGGCATAAAGCTAAGCCTTCGAGGCTCAGAGAGGTTAGGGAACTTGCCCAAGGATGCCAGCTGGTAAGGGGTAAAGTTGAAATGTTTATGTGACATTTTCTCCTATAGTTGACCATCTTTGGATTAGTCTATTGAGACCCACAGCAACCCCATGAGGTAAGGCAGGGATCTTTCAAAGAGCCCCAACTTTGCAGATGATAGCTCAGGGCCCTCCAACCAGGACATGGAGCAGGGGCTTCGCTGCCTCCCAGGGGTGCAGTGGGGCAGGACTGACCCAGGGCTGTGCAGATACTTGATCCCCTGTAAACACCTCGCTCCCCTGAGGCCCCACACATTTGCGCCAGGCTTTGCAGCTCCTTGCTATAGCACCTGCCACCCGCAGAATTAATTTGCTGTCTCCTGTCAATGACTCAGATCCCTGCATGTGGAGAGAAGAACAGCTGCAGACCAGGGGCCCTGACTCAGCCGAGAGAAGCTGGGGATGGGGTTCCCTGCCTTGGCCTTTGGATCCAGTAGGCCTGAGCCCAGAGCCCCAAGAGTGTGCCAAAGACGACTGCAGATGCTAGGTGGTCCACTCTAAGACCTGTTGCATGATCGCTGCTCATATTTTTCCCTCTGCTGGGGCAGATTCCCCTCTGAGGATTGAGGGGGCTGGATGACCTGGTTTCTAAGGCTTCTTCCAGCTTGAAGCCCTCCTGCCCCTTTTTCCTTTACAAGACAGAATTAAATTTGGGGGCTATGCCAAGGAGGCGTGGGAGGACTGGGAGGGTGACTGTGACCCTCTCCTGGGGGCTGCTAGGGCAGAACAGGAGGCTGGAACAGCCCTTCCAAGCCTCTGTGTTCATCTGTAACCATATGCTGGCTATGGGAGGGATCAGGGAGGAGAAGAAGGACTGGGAGGAATGTGGGGACTAAGGAGAGGAGACCCAGGTAGGAGAAGAGGAGCAGGGCCTATGAGGCCAAGGAAGCCAAAGAGGAGAGTTTGCATTGCAGTGGGCCAACCTCCAATTTAGGAGGGCTCATTTTGAATAGTGAGATTGAGGCACAGAGAGATGAATAACCTGCTCGAGGTTAGAAAGCTTGGAGGCAGAGTCAGGCCCAGAGAGCCAGAGCCTGCCCAGAGCTCTGCATACCATGCTGAGATCTTCAGGAGCTCCTGGAACAGCTGCAGTTCCGAAGTTGGCATGCCGGCACATCTGGCCTCCCCTACAGCAACCCCAGAACCTGCCGGTCCCAACCTCCCAGATCTCCTCCCCAGTGCCACTGCCCACTCTCAGGCACCCTAATCTCCAACCATAGTTCTGAATCTGAACCTGTTACCCTCACTTGGAATGCACACTCTGTGGCTCCCTGTTGCCCCACGCAGTTGAGTCCCTCCTCCTGCGTGGGCCTGCGAGCTCTTGCAGACAAGGTCCTGCTCATTTTTGCACCCAGTCCTGGCTGCTCCCCATAAGCACCCTATACTCTTGTCCCCCAGGGTTACTTTACATGCCCCAAATAATCACCGATAGGCTTTAGTGCTGGGCATGTGCTACTCAATTTGTTGGCCCTGCCTTCAGTGGAAACCAGGAATCCTGGGTTCCAGTGCCAGCCCATCTGTCCCTCTGCCCTGGTCCTCTCTGGGCCTTGGTTTCTCTACCTGCAGGATGGGGATTGGGCTGGCAAGGTGCCTTCTAGGCTCCTTGCTTTTCCTTCTGTGACTCCAGGAAAGAAGCAGGGGCCCCTTGATGTGGGGGACATTTCCGGGCAGGGCTGGAAGATCCCCTTTGCGGGTTGTCCCAGTGCCAGATGATGAGGAATGTGCCTGCCTGTGCCATCAGGAGGAGTGGAACCAGAGCTGCTCCTAATCATTAGGCACTAATTAATTCATTTACTGATGAGGTGTTGCCAGGATTTCTAGGCTTCTCCTTAATGCCCTCCCTCCTGCTCATCAGATCTTCAAAGGGATGGGAAACATTTCCAAAAATATCCATTTTCCCATGATTCTTTGGGAGGACTGCTCAGCTCAGCAATTAAAGACAAGGAGGTCGCATCCTCCCTGGCAACGGCACCCAGCGGGTGGGGCCTGTTTTCCTTCAGGGTCACCTCCTCTCTCCAGGTCAAAGCCTGCTGCCTAGGATGGCCCGGCCCAGAGAGGGATTCCACGTGCCCCACCCCCTGTGTGGGGTGCCCTCCCATTAGCTCCACTAGCACCCCCTTTGATCAGGACAAGTGGCACGTTCTGAATGTTATATAAGGTAATATAAATATCGCCCCAAGACAATAATAATAAACATCACGGCGACACCATATGTCAGGCACGGTTCTAAGTACTTTGCACATGGTAACTAAAAACCCTGCATCAGTGAGGTGGAAGTCATGACTAGGACGGCTCTGTCTCCTGGATAAGGACGGACGCTGAGAGATTGAGTGACTGGCCTAAGGTCACACAGCCAGTGGGGGTGGCACCAGGGTCTGCAGGAAGCCTGCCTGGGTGGAGGGCTCAGTTCTGAACACTCTTTCGTGCTGCCTCTCTTAAGGCAAAAACTGCATCCACAACCCTCTGCCCCCACGCCCTTCTCACCAGGTCTCTGCCCCCAAGCCCCTCTCTTTGCAGACATTCCAGAGCAGCCTCTGGTCCCAGGCAGTTCATGTCCATTGTAGAGATGCTGTATCGTCATTTCTGCCCAGGGCTCGGCACTGCACCAGACCAAGGTCCACTCACAGGGAGGCTGGGCAGAGCTTTATAAATCCACCGAACCCCATTTCCCTTCCAGTTCCCAGCAGCCAGAGCTGCTACTTGGGTTAGAAAGGAGGCCACCGCCTTTCAGTCCAGGAGGCCAGGTTGAGGCTCCCTCTCTTGGGGTCAGCATCCACTTTCCTGCCCCACCCCCCAGCATCTCCCTCTGGTCCCGATGCTGCCAGCAGAGAGGCACCTCCAGGCTGATGGTCCCATGGGAACCGTTGGAGCAGCTCCCTTTTATAAATGAGGAGAGGGCTCTGGCTTCCTCCCAGGGCTCTGTCCCTAGGGGTTTCCAAGCCCAAGACTAGAACTCGGGCAGCTTCCTCTGTGGGTCAGTGAGAGCCACAGAGAGGCCTGCAGAGGCCAGCAGAGATGGCTCAGGGCTCATTCTCTTTTGCAGTCAGTGAATTAAGTCAAGGAAACAGGATAAAGCTACTGATGCCAGAGAGGGATCTGGGGTGGCATAGGACAGCCTCACCAGCAGAGGAGGCAAGACAGAACTTAGAACCCCTCTGTCCCTTCCCTTCTGAATTTATGTCCCTGGTGTCCAGGGGGAGGGGATCAGGTAGAAAGGCCAGTAAAAGGGACCCTTTAGGCAGCTCTGCCCATCCCAGAGCTCCAAAGCCAGGCAGCAGCCCTTAGGGTTTCTTGGAAGGTGACAGTTTGGGGCTCAGTTCAGGCTGATGGCTGCACAAACACCCACCCTTCCCAGACCATGCTCCTGCCTTCTTTCCCAAGTGCTGCAGGCCAGGCCAGGAACAGTTGTAGTGGGTTCTAGTGCAATAAGATCACTACCAAGCAAGACTCACCCGGTCACCTGACATTTTCTGTCCAAGAATCCTCCCCCATGTTCCTACCACATGACCCTCCAAAATAAAGCCTGCTTTGGGGCAATGCCACCAGGGGACCTTCCTTGAGACCTGCCCAGTGAACCCCCACCCCACATTAAAACCTGCCACACAAGAACCACCCATGGAAACCTCCACCACCCACAGACCTACAAGGAACCATGTCATTTAAATCCACTTGAGCTGTCACCACGTACCTTCCACCAGATCCTGCCCAGCTGTGTGAGCACTGACTCAGGGACCTCATCCTCCTTTTCTGCGTGACCCCAAATGGGAGCATCTCAGAAGAGCACCTGCCATGAAATCCGACACCTTATCAGGGCCTAGAGGGAGGCACCCAAGGGGTAGCCATGCTTGTTCATAGGCCAGTTCTGTGGCAAGGTCATGTCAGCTTCGGGGCAGAGCCGTGTCACCCAGAGGCAGTGGCTGCTGTAGCCCTGTGGGAGATGAGTGGATGGGCAGGAAATGGGGTGATAAGAAAGGCTTCTATCCAGAGGCCCAGTGCTGGCCCAGATGAATGGATGGACAAACAGACAGACAGATGCCAAGCTATCACAGCTCTCTTCTTTTTCCAGACAGTGGCTACCGGGAGTGCCTGGCCAATGGCAGCTGGGCCGCACGTGTGAATTACTCTGAGTGCCAGGAGATCCTCAGTGAGGAGGTGAGCTGAGCTGGGCAGGCTGCCACACCAAGGGGTCGGCCAGGAACCCCAGCATGAGCTGGATGCAAAGTGGTCAGCTGGGGCCTGGGGGACAGAGGTGATGTCAAGGCCCTGCCCCAGGGAAGATGACTGGCAGCTGCTGGGCAAGCTGTACAGGGACAAGCAGGGTCCTGGTTCCTTCCCCCCGTGCCCACTGGAGGCTGCCTGCTGGGGTATAGTCAGTTCAGACTACAGACATGGTTGTGGGGTTTGCACCCATTTCTACCCCACACACCTGAGCAACACCAAGGTCCATGAGGACTGTCAGAACCAGACATGGAAGTAGGGGTAGTGGTGCCATTTTAAAAAGCCCCGGAGATCCTTTTAAAAATTTAAGTGTTTTGAGTAGATACTGCTTACACATAATATAAAATTCAAAAAGTACAGATGGGAATACAGTGAAAAGTCTCCCTCCCACCCCTGTCCCCAGCCAGTGGATTCCCTCCCCAGAGACAGCTGATTTGCCACTTTCTTGAGTGTTGTTCTGTACATACAAGGAATTACGTGTGCATGTACTTTTTTGGTTTTACCCAGATGTCACATATCATACGTGTTCCTTGACACCTTGCTTTTTTCATGTAGCCATCTATCCTGGAGACCATTCCGTGTCACTACAAAAGAGCATTTTCATTGTTTTTACATTTGCACAATGCCCCATGGTCCATCTATGCCATAACTTACTGAACCGACCTTTATTCTCAGTCTTTGGTCCTTACAAACAGTACTGCCATGAATTCTCTCTTCCGGTGACATTTGGCAGAGGCACGAACGTCTCCATCCAGTGTTTCTGCTACCTCCGTCCCCCTCCGCCCTGTCCCTCCGTCTCTACTCCCTTTATCCACAAGTGCTGAGGGAGACGGGGGTCATGGGCTGGAAGAAATAGAAAATGTAACCGAAAAGCAAAGTGAGCAGAAAGCAAAGGGCAGAAGGGAAGCCATCCCAAGCCACCAGGGCCCCCGGCTCCTGGAGCGAGGAAGAGGCTGGTCTAGGCAGTCTTGAGGATTTCATTGCCTTCAAGATCTGAGTTGGAAAGGACCCTGGAGACCTTCCATCCCATCCTGAGGTTCCCAGCCCTGCCTGGTGGTAAGAAATCACACAAGAACACTTGTTAGCCGCAGAGCTACGCCCAGCACCCAGTAGCTCAAGCTGCCCAGGAGCATCTGGGAATTGGTATTTTTAACAAGTGCCCCCAGGGGAGCCTGCTGATGGGGCCAAAGTGGGAAACCTGGATCTGGTCCGACACCTTCACTTCACAGAAGGGGAGACTGAGGTCAGGGAAGTGGAGAGGCTTGCACAAGGTCACGTAGCTAGAACCTGGAACCCGGGGCTTCGGAGTCCAGGTACCTGAATGAAGCAAGGTGGTTGCAGAGAGGACATCTTCCCCCCCACCCCAGCCCTGAGCACTCTCGTAAGCCCCTCCCGGTTCCTTGAGCTACTCAGAAATCTCCTTCCAGAAGTTGCAAAGGCAGGTCACTGCTTAGCTAAATAATGACCAGCTCTTTCACAGGGCAGCAGAGTTCCTTGCTTAGCCTAAATAATGACCAGCTCTTTCACAGTACTGCTCTGGCAGGGCAGCGGAGTTCCTTGGGGTGCAGGATGAGGGGTTTCCTGCCATCTCAGATTTCACAGGTCAGACCTGGGCTGGGCTGGCTTGGCCCAGCATCCCTACAGTCACACCGAACATCCTGAGCACCGAACATCCTGACTGTGAGCAGACCTGGGCAGTCCTGGGGCTGGGGAAGGAGCACCCCCCTGGACTGGAGGAGGGGTATGGGGTGCAGATTAGGAAAGTTGACCAGAGGAGATGGCCTTGGGTGGGTGGTGGGGTGGCCAAGAACCACTCAGAGGGATGGAAAACGCTCCCTGGCATACAGTAGAGGAGATGAAATGGAAGGAAATGGGGCTTGGGCTCAGAAAAGCAGATCTGTGCTGTGGTGGCTCTTGAGACCATTGTTCCTGCCCAGTGAGGGTGGCGTGGGGGAGGTGCAGCTGGGATTGCATCTGTCTTGCAGGACAGATCTTCATCACACCCACCTGAGGTCTGAGAGCCCTGCTGGATCTGCCATGGCAGACATCTCCAGCTGCCCCAGACATCTCCAGCTGTCCCACCATCGGACAGAGGGGCAGACAGTTGTGCCTTTCTTGGACATTGTCAAAGCTGCAGTGGCCCGAGCTGCTCTCCTACCTGACCCCCACATCTGAGCCTCCTGATTGTCAGGGTGAGGTCAGGGTTCCCCATCTCTCCTGCTCTATCTTAAGACCCTTCCTTCTAGTTGGCTGATGAAGGACACTCAGCAGCCCGATTCCCCCCAGCTCTCTTCAAAGACTCCAGGGCAGGAGGTTGGTTGCCTCAGTCCTCCCTTCTCCATGCCCTGGAGGCCCCACCTCTGCCTGGGACCTAGGACTCTCCCTCTCTCCACCAGCAGGTTAGGCCAGAAAGGAGGAGAGCATCATTTCTCACGAGCACCCCCACTTTGGCAATATAGTGGGAACAGCATGGCCTTCGGGGGCAGACAATTTGGGGTTTGGAATGATCTTTTATTTTTTATTTTTCATACTCAAAGATTTAACCCAGAGGCACTTTACCTCTAAGCTATATCCCCAGCCCTTTTTGTTTTTTTAATTCAAGGGGGAGTCTCACTAAGGTGCTGAGGCCAGCCTCAAACTTGGGATCCTCTTGTCTCAGCTGGAATTACAGGTCATTGTGTGTGATCTTGAGCAAGTAGCTTCACCTCAGTCCCCTACAGGGGCTGAGAATAATTCAGTGGCTGTCCCCTGGAGATTAGGAGGGGGCTGTCTTGGCCTATGGAAGGTACCCACTCATCTGCTACCTCTCTGCCTCTCACTGGGGAGATCAGAGGAGTTGGTGGTGTACACAGGAAGGGATGAGAAAACTGTAACAGGGACACCCTTTCTCTGTCTTGGTGGAACTGGCCTGCTTGCTTAGCTACTCTGGAATCAATTAATTTAATTAGTGAAAGCACCATCCCTTCTGAGCCCCTCCAGATGTTGATAGGCTCCTTCTCCTCCCAAGAGGCTTAGCCCCTTTCTCTTGGAGCTGCAAAGAGAAAGTTTCCAATTGGGTGAGTGGCAGGCTGGGCTAAGCCCTAATGAAGCACCAGCACCCTGGGGTGCATCAAGTCTGTGAAATGGGACACCCAGATTCCAGGTGCCCACAGCTAGACCACCATGGGACAGGTCCCTAATTGGAAAGCCTGATTCATGCGTGGCCCAGCCAGTGGTCGGCAGCAAGTCCCCAGCACCGCTCTGCACCAGTTCCCAGTATCAGTCCCCGCTATACACAACTGTGACCTCTACTGTGCCCTTCCCCACTGTCCCCAACTCTCTTCTGCTCCCTTGAATGCACTCAGTGCCCTCTCTTATGCTCTGCTGAGCACATTGAATCTGACCTTCGTGCACATCCTGGAAGGACAGTAAAGGTACTTACTCTGGGGATCTGGGGATCTGGGCCAGGATGAGGGTTTATGAAACATGGTGCTTAGGAACCACGTGGGCTTCTTGCTAAAATGAAGATTCCAATTCTGAGCATCTGGAGCCAGGCTCACACTCCACTCTTCTCAAGACTTCTGCAAGCTCCTAGATGCTGATGTCGCTGGTTCAGGGACCATGCTTTGCAGAGCAAGGGATTGGGTATCTCCTGGCAAGGCCAGGGGAGCAGCGCAGGATGCCCTGGTGGAGAGGAAGAGATAATGTTCGTGGGCAGGGATGAAGAGATGAGGCCAGGGTGAGTGGAGGGAGCATGGAATCCTCCTTGCTGCCATCTGGTCAGGCATAAGGACGGGTCTGACGCCACCGCCATTTTGGACCTGATAGTGTCTTGGAGACTCTGCTCAAAATCAACCAAGCAGTAATTGCTTGTGAGATTCTGGTCATGGAGGGCAGAGCACAGTGGTCTCTGCCCAGGGCCCCTCTGTGTCACCTGCCTCAGGGAACCTGCTGGTCTTAGGTATGCAAATTGGATGTGACAGAGTGCTGGTCAGCCCCTGCRGTTGGCTTTTCCCATGTCCTTTGGGCATCCAGCTGCTTCTGCAGTTCTTGGTGGCTGTCCCTCAATGAGCAGTCACTGTGTCTGGGTGTCCCTGGTCATCTCTTGGAGAGTCATTGGCTGTCCTTCGGGATGTTGCTGGTTATTCTCCTCAGGTGTCATTCAGGTGTCATTGGCCACCTCTCAGGGTATCACTGGCTTTTTCTTGGGGGAGGGTCACTAGCCACCTCTCAGGGTGTTGTGAGTGTCTCTCAAGGAGAAGTTGGCTCAGGACCGTGCTGGCCAAATCTCTTGTTAGTGGTAGAAGTTTCTAGGTGTCTCTGGCTGTTCTGTCCGTGTGTCAACTGAAAAGATTGGTCTTTCAGAGTGTTTGCGACTGTCTTAGTCTGTTTTGTGCTCCTGAGACACACACCTGAGACTGGGTAGTATTTAATGAATAGAAATGTCCTGGTTCTGGAAGCTGGGGATCCAGATGGGGGACTGGCACCTTTGAATGCCTTCTAGCTGCATCATCTCCTGATGGGAGGGCAAAGAGGGTAGAGGAAGCAGGTGGGGCCCACACTCGCCCCTTGCAGGAAGCACCCATTCCTACGATGACAGCAGCAACCCATTCACGAGGGTGGTGCCCTCAGCTCCTGACACCTCTGACAGGTCCCACCTCAAACCCCTCTGTCCTGGGGCTCAAGTTCCCCACCCATGTACTTTGTGGGACACATCCATATCTCAACAGTGGTCCTCTGTCGGGTATCTCTGGCCTCTCTTAGTGACACTACTGTCCCTCCAGCCATCTTCTCCAGCTGTTTCTCACTTGTATCAGGCCAGAGGTGGCTTGAACTCAGCCAGACACATCTCAGGAAGTCACGTGGAACTTCTGTCCCCCGGGAATGGTCCCTGTTATCACTTTTCAGCTTGAAGAACACTCGGCAGCTCCCGGGCCCCCTGCAGAAGCTCTCAGAGGATTCTGGGCCCAGTCTGGAGGAGAGCTCCCCAGACAGCACCTCGGTTGTCCATCCCTGCTTGTCCCCCAAGAAATGCACAAAGCCAGGTTTAAATTGCTGGCTGGGTAGCTTGGGCCGGTCATCCAGTCTCTTCAATGGGAAAACAAGGACTCAAAGACCAGTCTCTGAGCCCAGTTGTGAGAAAGAAAAGCAATGGCATTGGAGAGGTGCCTGGCTCAGTGCTCAGCATCCAGTAGGTGCTTAATAAATGACTCCTCCCTACCCCAAACCAAACAATCCAAGCCCAACCTGATGGGCCCAGGCAGGGCCCCTAACAGATGGGCTCCCTGTGACTCTGCTCACTTGTCCCACCTGGGCCTGTGAGTGAAGCCAGGATGTCCTGCTGTTCGTGGCTCTGCAGATGTTGTCATTACCCAGGGGCTTCTCAGCATGGATTTGTGGAAATTTTAATAAAAGGAAATTAAGTCCCAGCTCCAGACAGGCTCTGATGTGTGTGTGTATTCTGGAGCCTCAGGGTTGTGGCATCTGCCAGAGGCGCTTAGAGACCTCTGCATCTGCAGCGGTGGCTCAGGCCCCCTCTTTGTCCCCACCTTGTCCCTCTGTCTCTCCTGCCCTGCCTCCATGGGTCCCAGCCCTTTTGAGGCTGGAGTTGCTAATGTGATTTCGTGGCATGTCCTTGAAAACCTCTATCCCCCAAACCAGTTCCCTCCTGGCCCCGTGGGCTTCCTGGGAGGATGTCTCTTTGGAAGGGGTGCCAGGGCAGGGAGAGCTTGGGCCGGAGGGCGTGGCCCCTCTGGGATGCCTGCTAGGTGTCCCTTCTTATGTGTATTTGGGCCTCGGTTTCTTCATCTGGAGAATGGGCAGGGCTGCTGCCTTGGAGCAGCTCTGACTTCCGTGGGTCCTGTACTTCTGGCAGGAAAGTCCGTGAAGAGCCAGGAGCTCTGCAGTGCTCTGTAAGGGTGAGCAGGGCCTCTGCCAGCCCGTCCTTTCTCGGGTTTGCGTATGGCCAGTTCCTGTGCGTCGCAATCCCCTAGCCCCACCCCAGACCAGCAAAGGGTAAGGGAGGGGGATGCCAGAAGGGACCCCCTCTCCAAGCTGGCTGCTCCCGTCTCCCCTGTTCCTTCCTCATCATCATGGAGCCCAGCTGTGTGCCAGGCTCTGGGTTTCTAGGCAGTACATTCCTGGGACCCAGAAAAGAATGAGGGGGGCTATGCCCTCAGCAGGGCAGAGAGCGAGCCCTGAGGACCAGCCAGCCCCTCGTGGTAGGGCGGGAACCTGTTCAGAGTCTTCGCCCCTTGATCTGCAGGTGCAGATACGAGGCAGTTTGGAGGTCAGAGTGGGGAGACCTGGAGGGAGTCCACATGCTTCTGGGGCTCTTTCTATACAAGAAGTTACAGGTGCCCCTCTGACCCTTCCCTTGGGGTCACCTTGAGGGCCTGAGAACATAACAGACATAAACCCCTCTGTGTCTGCTAAGACTTCCTGTTCTTGGAGCTTAAGATTACTGGAAGGATGGGGGCAGTAGTTTCCTTGTGTATGTTAAATTAATTAAAAAATAAAATTAGGGAATTTGAGAGATCCCATTCACTTTGAGAAGCCCTGAGCCAGGGAGAGGGAAGGCCCTAGGAAGGGAGGGAGCCACGGAACCTAGACAGGTTTCCTTGGTTGCTAATGATTCTGATGCACAGCACTGCTCCCCCCTCTCCTGGCAAATAAGAGCTGGCCGCAGCTACAGAGAGACTTAGGAGTGACCAGGAAGATGGTGACACAATACAAAAATGGGTGGAGGAAAGAGGTCTTGGAGAGCTGAGGTCTCTGAACCCACCAGGGCCACCAGGTGTTAGGACAAGATGGCAGTGTGGACAGGTGTGAGCCTGGAGCTCACTGTGGGCAGCATTCCCGGGGTGTTATGTAGAGATGCCATTTAACCCAGATTTTCCCAACAGCACAAAGCAGTAGGCAGAGCCCCGGATTCAGGGACAGACTGGCTTCAGCTGGACAGTGCTGCTCCAGAGCAGTGCTCGACACCCAGGAGGGCCTGGGGAGGGGGCGCCCCAGCATTTCCGCCCACTCTGTCCCCGCTGCCCTGAGCGCTTTGTCCAGCGGGTGCAGGGGCATGGCTATACAGGAGCCTCACCTCCACCCCTCTCTTCTGCTTCAGAAGAAGAGCAAAGTGCACTACCACGTCGCCGTCATCATCAACTACCTGGGCCACTGCATCTCCCTGGTGGCCCTCCTGGTGGCCTTTGTCCTCTTTCTGCGACTCAGGTGAGAAGACCCTGGCACTGCCTGCTGCTGTCCCTGGGTCCTCGAGCAGGGCAGGGGAAGTAGGATGCAGGGCAGCCCTGGGCTTCTGGGAAGGGGGCATTGCCTCTGCCTTCAGTGGGAAGAGGGTGGCATACATGGGGGTCTTGGGGGTCTTGGAGCTTCAGGAAGAGCCTGTCCTGGAGGCCTGTCCCTCTACAGAAACTACTGAAGGGGGCAGTGAGGGGGGAMAAAGCCCAGGCTTCCCTGTGTCGCCCACACCTTGGCGGGTCTGTACCCATTTCTGGAGACTGGGCAGGTGGAGCCCTGGAGGTGGGGTGCCAGGAGTGACCTCCCCACTTTAGTTTCAAATGTGCCACAGCCGTGGAGTGGGGGCAGGCGGGGAGCAGCAGGGGCTTCCCCTTGGAGACCTGTCGTATTTGCTGACCCTCTGCTCTCAATCCTGAAAGGGCTGGAGTGGAGGAGCACCTGCCAGGGGAAGGGGCACCCACAGCGAGCCCGATCCACAGAGCATGCCCTGCCCTGCCCAGGAGCTCACGTTTGGCTGGTCACAGTCAGGAAGGGCCCCACGGGGCATGGAAAGAAGCTTGCTGCCTCCTCTCTCTGTGACTTAGCCAGCCAGCCCCACTCTCTCTGAGCCTCAGTTTCCCCAGCCACATATCCGGACTGCCGTGAGGTTGGCGGCCTGTCACTCATTCTCTCTCTCTCCTCTTGTCATTCTGGTCATCTGCCTGCCCCTGCTGTCCCAGGAGTATCCGGTGCCTGAGAAACATCATCCACTGGAATCTCATCTCGGCCTTCATCCTGCGCAACGCCACGTGGTTCGTGGTCCAGCTCACCATGAGCCCCGAGGTCCACCAGAGCAACGTGGTGTGTCCTGGCAGGGGGAGCCAGMATGGGAACAAGCCCAGGATCAGAGGAGGGGCCCAGGCCAGGCCCCATGCCCAGAGAACAGGAGTGGGATCCTGAGGAGACCCCAGGTCCGGGGTGGGGTGCTGTCACTGCCCCCGCCCCCACTCATCCTCACCTGTCTTTGGGGGGGGGCGGTCAGGGCTGGTGCAGGTTGGTGACAGCTGCGTACAACTATTTCCACGTGACCAACTTCTTCTGGATGTTTGGCGAGGGCTGCTACCTGCACACGGCCATCGTGCTCACCTACTCCACCGACCGGCTGCGCAAGTGGATGTTCATCTGCATTGGCTGGGGTGAGCGGGGCGGCCCCCGCCCCAGGCCGGACGCTGCAAACCCTGCTGCCCCCTCCTCACCCGGAGTCAGGCCAGCGACCGGGGCCTGGGAGCTGGAGGCCAGGTTGGATGGTGGGGTGTGCACCTCCTTGGGGGTGGGGACAACAGGACCATCATGAAGGTGTGTGAGCTCATGCTCAACCTCTGGTAACCCCACCCCACCCTAGGCCCTGGGCTGCACTGGGGTCCTCCAGACCCAGCATCCCCCCTCCCCAAGTTGCCCTGAAGGGCTCTGTGACTGCCCGTCTCTTCCTCAGGTGTGCCTTTCCCCATCATTGTGGCCTGGGCCATTGGAAAGCTGTACTATGACAATGAGAAGTAAGTCACCTGCCTCCCCTCTCCAAGCGCTGAGGTCCAGGCTCCCAGCCTAGCTCTATCAGACCCTCCCCGAGGACCCTGGGTCATTCTGCCTCCCTGCCAGACCTTGGCTTCTGCATCTATAAAAGCAGAGAGTTTGGGGGCTGGATTCAGTCCAAGTGTCCCTCCAAGTGCTCTGTCAGAGGTGGCTGGACAGGCAGCAGCCTCTGGGCTCCTTCATTCCTCTTGCGCTTTAACAAGAACAGTCTCTAGAGCCAAGCTTCCCAGGTTCTGAATGGTGGCTCCATCATTAAATATAGGTAGATGGCCTTGGGATAATTACTGCTCTGTGCCTCAGTTTCCTCAACTGCAAAATGGGCATCCCACTAACAGTGCCTACCTCAAAGGGTGGGACTAGCATGCGTGATACCTAGTAAGCGTGGAGAAACAGAGCCTGGCGTGTAGTGTATGCTATGTTAATGTTTTGATTAAGACTTGTTTTAACAAAGAGTCCGTGGRTTTATTGGAGATTGGTCCAGATGGCCTCAGAGGCTCTTTCCAGCTCTGAAGCTTTGGAGACTCTTGTTCCCAGTCACCCCTGAAAACTAGACTTCCGCTGTTGCACGGAGAAAACTAGACAGCTGTGTCTCACGGAGAATCACCTGGAAACTCTAAAAACTGCGGATTCCTGGGCTCACCAYAGAGAGAAGGATGTCGTTGGTCTGGGTTGTGGCCTGGGCACCAAGGTTTTTTTTTAACTGCCCAGGTGGTCCCAATGGGCAGCTAAGATGGAGAAAGAGGCAGAAAAGGCGGGTGGATCAAACTGGTAAGGGAAGAAGACAGAATTGTTGCCAACAAAGCATTCTCAGGATCCACTGACCATCTGACCAGGCTCCAGGTGCCTCCTGCTGCCCTCGGCCACAGAGGAAGCCAGCACACCCTCCCTGGCTGGGAAAAGGATAAGGAGGCTTGGAACCAAGAACAAAGTGGGGCTCAGTGGCTCTGAAGCTCCACCTGCTGGCGAAATATAGACACTGCAACAGAAAGAATGGGAGTTGGAGACATGAGAAAGAACTTGCAGACCAGAAGACCTGGCCCTCGGCAGCTGCATTTAGCTTTCGTGGTGCTGTTCAAAAACTTGATTTTGTAGCCACCTTTAAAAATCAACAGGTTTCACATTAAAATCTCAATTTCTGTTTTATGGGAGCAAGATGAAGTCTAGCCACTGTGGGTCTCTGCCCACAAGGACATGGGGCTTCCAGTTTGTCCCACCCACTCCCTGGAACTTGCTGGAGGGCAACTCAGGAAAATGCAAAGCAATTTTGTCTCTTGCAACAGGTAGTTCCTGTGAAATTGTCCCCATTAAGGTCATTCATGTTGCAATTTAAATAATTCAGAGCCTGGCACAATGGCACACACCTGCAATCCCAGCAACTCTGGAGGCTGAGGAAGAAGAAGGATCGCAGTTCAAAGCCAGCCTCAGCAATTTAGCCAGGCCCCAAGCAACTTAGAGAGACCCTGTCTCAAGAAATAAAGATGGCTGGGGATGTGGCTTATTTATTAAGTGCCCCTGGGTTCAATCCCCGATACCAATAAAAAAGGAAATTTAAAAATAAAGCTTTTTAAAAAAGAATTCAGACAGATGGCTAACTGTCAGTGCCCATTTCCATAGCACCATGCTCAGCCGCAGCCACCACCAGGGGACCACAGGGAGGAACGGAGGAAGCAGTGCTCTGTTGGGCCCCGGCCTGTTCCTGGCACTCAGTGGTCTTCTCCACCGTCCCTCCCTGCCAGGGTCTGCTATCCACTTTCCATCTCATAACAGAGGCTGCTGTCCACCCTGCAGGTGGGATAACTGAGGCACTGCAGTCAACTGGCTTGATCTTCTGTCAGGATTGGAATTAGGGTACCCACATCCTGACTGCCAGCCCCAGTCCTGCCCTGGCCAAGCACTGCCCTTCCCTGTGCCACTGAAGTGGATCCAGATGACGCCACCCCCCCCTTTCCTCTGTGACCTTCTAGGTGCTGGTTTGGCAAAAAGCCTGGGGTGTACACCGACTACATCTACCAGGGCCCCATGATCTTGGTCCTGTTGGTAAGAACCTTGGTGGGGGGCCGGACAGGGCACAGTGGGAAGGGGCAGTCAGTACCTGCTGTGGACAGAGAGGACCCTCTGCCCAGAGGTGGGGGACACTCAGAGAAGCCCAGGCCAGGACTATGTGGGTGTTAATGAGGAGGAAGGAGAGCAGTGGGGGACAATGAGTCCCGAATTGAGAAGGCTGGGGACCTAAGCTGTCCCCTCCACCMACCACGACATCCTGCACACATCCATGCCCCCGTCTCCATCCGTGTGCTCAACTTGCAGATCAACTTCATCTTCCTTTTCAACATCGTCCGCATCCTCATGACCAAACTCCGGGCATCCACCACATCCGAGACCATTCAGTACAGGTACCAGTCCCCTCCCCACCCAGGGGGCTTCAGAGTGCCAGCCTCTGAGCAGGTCTCTAATGAGACCTGYCACCTCCCACCCCAGCCAGAGGCCTGGCTCCCTCCTGGACAGGCTGTGACTCTGGGTCCCCACCCCCCCACCCCAGGAAGGCTGTGAAGGCCACTCTGGTGCTGCTGCCCCTCCTGGGGATCACCTACATGCTCTTCTTTGTCAATCCCGGGGAGGACGAGGTCTCTCGGGTCGTCTTCATCTACTTCAACTCCTTCCTGGAATCCTTCCAGGTACAGGGCCCTCGCCTCGCCCCASTGCGGAGGGACCTCAGCGGCACCTGCTCCAATGGGGATTCTCCTGGGAGGTGGAACAGAGCTGGGACAGCCTGGAGTCTGGGTGGGCCCCCTACCCCTTCACAGGCTTCTGACGTCCCCCTGTCCCCCCCCAGGGCTTCTTCGTGTCCGTGTTCTACTGTTTCCTCAACAGCGAGGTGAGAACCCGAGTCAGAGCTGGGCTCAGGATGCTGAGGTCCACAGGAATTGGAGACTGTCCCCCTCTGCCTCCTCCTGCCCCAGGGCTGGCTTCCTGCTCCCAGGTCCCAGTAGGATGCTGCTCAGAGCCCCCGAGGGCCTGCCACGCCAGCTGTGTGTCCAGGGCACCCTCTCCTTTGCCCTTCGGCATTGGCATTGGGGGGCAGGAAGCTGGGCCAGGAAGCCCTGGGGCAGGGTTTGGGGAGAGTACAGTGGGCGGGAGGAGGGGTGTCACAGGGCTGAGGGGAGGGATTTTGCATGGCCAAGGCCAGGTGGCACGTTGGTGCCAATTAAGAAAAGGTGTCCTTTCCTAACTTGAGAAAAGTGTCCCAACAAACATGGCAGTGAGAACGTTAGCGACGTGAGTGTTTCCACCTATGCCCGTGTGAGGGGTCCTGAGCCCCCAGTCAGACCAGCCATCACGCTCTGCTCTGTTCCCACAGGTCCGCTCTGCCATCCGGAAGAGGTGGCACCGGTGGCAGGACAAGCACTCCATCCGTGCCCGTGTGGCCCGCGCCATGTCCATCCCTACCTCCCCKACCCGCGTCAGCTTCCACAGCATCAAGCAGTCCACGGCTGTCTGAGCTGCAGGCCATGGAGCGGCCCCCTGACATCTGTGGCTGGGAGGATGATGGCCCCTGTCTGAGGAAGCTACTGGCACTTTCCCACTCCCTCCCCACCCGGAGCTGTGGCCCCTGAGAGCCCGGGAGGGCCCCTCCACCCAGCAGTTGTTGTTCTAGGCTTCTGAGTGGACAGCGGCCTATAGGACTGGGCTGGGCTGGGCCCAGTTATCCCTGAAGAACGACACTGGAATGGAAATGGGAAGCTGGAAAGCCCTCAGCAGCACAGGGGGCTCCCCAAAAGCTATCYTGTCTCAGAGCACAAAATGGCCAGCCCACTGGAGAGCTGGGGTCCTCAGCAAACTGGGGAGGCATTGCCCCAGGGCATCCTGGGAAACTCTCCTGACACATCTATTCACCATCATGCCTCCAAGCATTAGCCTACCACTGAGAACCCAGGTCATGTCGCTTGGTCTGGAGCCCTGGGGGTATCATTAGACATTGGGTCACATCATCAGATATTGGGCCACATCACTAGAAACCAAACCCAAGCCACCAGAATGTCATCGGCACGGTGGCGCTGCCACCAAAAAATGCCCTGCCTTGCTGCTTGCACCCTTGGACACTTACTACCTGTGGGACCCTCCGGCTTCCCCTCTCCTCCCCACTGACAGTGCCCTTGTCCTGACTCCTGCCACTTGCTGCCCCTGGGAGACTCCCATCTGTGAGAAGATGGGGGCAGGGAGGGGGGTGGAGTGGCCTGTGAACAAGAACCAGGTTGTGCCCCAGCTAAGGCCAGTCTCCTTTTGAGGAAGGAGAGAGGTCCTTGGGGCCTGCAGCTGCTGGCTTTGGGACTGCCTCTGGGGCAGGGTCACCCACTGAGCAAAGGGAGAAGGGGCCCTCTCTGCCTGAGTGCTCTGGAGCAGGACAAATGGCTTACCTGCCTCCAGAGTGTGGACTGGCCCGCCCCCACACTGGACCCCCATGTCTAGGGGACTGGGCAGCTAGGGCAGGGYTCTGCAGTGGGGAGGCAGAGGTGCCCGCTGCGGGGGTGGCTAGTGTAAATAATAATATTTATCTTTTCAACCAGCATCTGTGAAAGCCTGGACTCTGCCAGGGACAGGGGAGAGAGGGTGCCTGAGAGACGCACCCTCCTGGCGGAAACCCTGATCATGGCTCAGGGCTGCTGGAGGGGCAGGGGTGGGGACTTGGAAGGAGACGATCTGGCCTGCTCTTAGTAAGGAGGTGAATCGGGGAGGGAAAGGACATGATCAGTAAGGTGGGGGAACTTTGCCGTGGCAGGGGACAGCTGGAACAAAGGCATGGCCACGGGACCCTACAGGAGAGGGYCCAATCTGAGGGAGGAGCAGAGCTGGGGAGCAGGCAGTGGAGTTAGGAAGCTRGGGAGTCAGACTAAGATAACTGTGGTGCCCGGAGTCGGCCGCTCCTGCAGGGGGTGGGGAGGCCCTGTGGGAGTTGCTGGGGTCCTTGAAGGACATATGGKGTGCCCTGTTCTGCCAGTTCCCCAAGCTCTGTGCCCTTAAGTAGAGAGATGGGGACAGGGGGGACCCAGGAGTCCCAGGGCAGGGATGGACCAATGGTTCCCAGAGCAATTTAGAGTGTGAGGTGGGGTGCCCTGCAGGGATCAGGGAGTAGCCCTGCTGGCTGACAGGAGGACAGACTGACTAGTGAGGGTCAACAGCCACAGCTGAGCCCTGGAGACGCGGTTCTCAACTCGCCTTTTCACACAGTGAGGCAGTGAGGAGGCAGAGCTTTCCCCGGAGGTGGGTGGGATGGGGGAGCCTCCCAAGGATGGGAGCCTGAGAGGGCTGCACAGACTTGCCCCTTCCTGCTTGGGCCCCTGGTTGCCCCAGCTGTCGGGCACCTTCTACTCTCAGTGTTGGGCCCTGTGGGAGGGGAGAGGGGAGCARCCATCCAGAATGGATGCTGGGGACCTGTCAGAGCCCCTGGCCTTGGAAGGCCATGGGGCCTGGCTATGGGCAGAAAAGCCCAGCAGACAGGGCTGGTCCAGAGGAGCCTGGGCCTCCCATCCAGAGACTATATGGGGGCGCTGCTTTATGGCACAGTGGGGAAAGTCTGAGCCCCCAAAATCTGCAGCCCCATGCCAGGGCCAGAAGCCCAGAGCTTCACCCACTGCAGCAGGTGTGTTCCGGGCTTCAGGGTTAATGCAGGCCCAGACCAGGCCACTCTGCTCCAAGGTTTGGCTTGTGGGGCCGGGAAGGCCCCAGGGGAGTGAGCAGGGTGTGGCACCCATCACAGCAGCAGCAGGATGGAGGTCACTGGGGTCCCCCCAAGACCTGAGTTCAGGCCCTTCCCTTATGCCCTGAAGAATCTTTCTCCACACCACACTCAGGGGTCACAGCACCCTGAATGTACCCACACCTGAGCCCATTTCTCCTTGAGACCCTGCTCAAAGTCATAGACACACAATTCTTCCAGTTCAGCTCCCCCTCCCTGACAGACAGCACAATCCCCTCCCTGAGGTCCTTGTTGTCCCTTCTAGGTCCCTATGCTGGCCGCCCTGGGGCCAGGACTGGGGAGCAGGCCAGATCTGGGAAAATYAAGTATTAGAGAGGGAGGTTTTAAAACCCAGATAATAATACCTGAATCGGGGCCATTGGTAGACTRGTTTTGCAATCCACAAAATCCTTCATAGCGTGTCTCACCTAGTCTTCAACTAGCCCAGGGAGGTAGGAACCAGCCCRTTTTGCAGCTGAAGAAATTGAGGCCTAGTGACCCCCTGAGATGGAAGCCTTCTGGCTCCAAGTCCAGGGCTCCTTCTGGCCCTCAGGTGACTRAAATCCTGGGGGCCTTGGGCTGGGAGGCCAGGACTGATGAGGCAGGTCTGGGACCAGAGGGCTGAGGAGGCCACAAGGTTTGGATTGATCTGAAGCACGTCCCACCTGAAGATGTGACCCGCCACGGCTGGCCCAGCCGGAGTCCAGCAGCTGAGGCCAGCTGGCGGGAGCAATGCCGGCTCTGAGTCTCTGGCAGCCCTTCCTTGCCTCCCCCCACCTCCCACCCCTCCACTCTCTAAAATGATGCTGAGCTTCAAACCACGTAGCCCAGGCCCCCAGAAGCCATGGCAGCCCTCTCTGCACCCCAGGCCGTCTAACCCTGTGAGGGAGCCGCTGGCCTCCAGCTCAGAGGTGTCTCGTGGTCATCTCATCCAGCCCCCAGCTCCCAACTCAACTGCTCACTGGGCCCAAACAGAGCAGGTGCTCTCTACAGCTCATCCCCAGCAATCCTGAGCAGCATTGTGTTTGGGGGCATCAGGTCACGCACATGAATCTCATCTATTCTGCCTACTGCCCTGCAAAGCAGATGCTATTATCCCCCATTTAACAGGTGGGAAAAGTGAAGCCCAGAGAGGTCAAGAGACCTGCCCAGGGCACCTAGCAGTGGCATGTCTGGATGAAAACCCAAGGTGGCTTCACACTGCCTGCACAGAGGTACAGGATTCTTTGCAAGGTTACCCTCCCTGCCCCACTGCCTCCTACAGTAACTTCCCAGGGACATTTTTCTGTTTTCCAATCTGTAGACAAACAGCATTCAGAGATGAGCTGGCCGTAGGATCTGGAGCCTACAGAGCACAGGCTTCAAGTGCCCCCAGTGTCCCCAGGTCATCCCAGCTCCACCTCTCAACATGGCCTCCTGCCTTTCTCTCTAGCCCAGCAACCCCTGCAGATACGGCCCTGCAGATACCGCCAGACAGGCTCAGGGTCAAGAGAGGCCTGGGCCCCGTCCATTTCTCAAAGCTCTCGGTGACGGAAGCACCAATGAGTTCATCATTTGGATGAAACTCCAGACTGCCACCAGACTGCCACCGAGCCCCTTCTGTCCCTCCAAGTCGTTCTGGACAAAACCCTGCCACCCTGCCTCATTGTGCACTGGGCCAAGGCAGGTGAGGACAAGGGGAGGGCTCTTAGGGACCCAAGGAGGATGGTGAAAACTGGGGAGGCCCGAGCTCCTGCTTCTCTCCCCTTCGTGGCTGGAGTGAGGGACAGAGCAGATGACAAGCCAGTCCCTTCCCAGGTCTGCACCACCTCCAGCTCATGCCTGGGCCAGCAGGTCGGGGCAGAAGAGAGGCCAAGCAGCAGGGTGCTTTCCCTGCCTGCCTGAGCGGATACCTACTGCCCCTGAGTGGGTGAAGATAAATGTTCCAGAYGCTGTCTAGGTCCAAATGGAAGGCAGAGACTTTGCCACAGGTCTGCCCTGGGCAGCCCGCTGAGAGCTCAGGTCCTGGCCAAGGTGGGGACAGGGGAGAGAGCAAAGCAGCCAGCGCAGGGGCTGTCATCAAGGTCAGGGTCAGGAGTCTGCAAATCCTTAGAGCAGGATTATAGCAGGAGAGTGGACCACAGCCCCAAAGGGCACCAGCCACTCGTGTGAATGCAATGATCAGGGCACAAAGTGGCCACCCCAAAGGGCAAGCCCAGGGCTGATGGGCTGGGCTGGGGTAGGCGGGTGGGTAAGCAGTGACTGAGGCAGGGACAGCCTTCAGCAAGCTGGGTCCCAGGAAGAGACATGGAGGGAAGGAGCCTTCAGAGAATCCTTTGAGCCCAAGGGTAGATCAAGGAGGAAGGCAGGAGCAAGCTCTGTCAAGAGTACCCATGTTTCCTTTCCCTCTTCCTTTCTTTCTTTTTTCCCCTCTCTTTCTCCTTCCCTTCCCTCATTCCATCCATCCATCCTTCCTTTMTCTCTCTTTCTCTCTCTTGTACTGCGGATTAGACCCAGAGCTACTCTACCACTGAGCTACATCCCCATCCTATTTTATTTTATTTTGAGACAGGGCCTCACTAAATTGCCCAGGCTGGCCTCAAACTTGCCATCCTCCTGCTTTAGCCTCCTGAGAATCTAGGATTACAAGCATGTGACAAGGTGCCAGGTTGGTTCCCAAGTTYGCTGAACCCCCAAGTTTGGGGGCACATGCTGGCCTGGCAGGATTCTGAGGAACCACAATGAGACCTGTCCTGAGRACTGTGCCAGCCCAGGGGATGAGCCGG